ATATATATATATAAAGAGAGAGAAAAAGAGTGCGATATAACTCCAAAAATATATGGAACTGCGTTATTCTTGTAACATATTCGTTGACAGTATACATAGACAGTATAGACAAGTGAGAAACGACGAGAAAAGAAAAACTCTATAAATAAGATAGAAACACGTGACGTTATACAAAGAAAAGAAAAAAAACAAGCAAAATCAAGTAAACCCCATCACGAGACAACATATATATAATATAGGTGTGTCGTTAAGAATAATGGTGGTGTAGACACGAATTATGAGATACGAATAGAAACTAGAGAAACAGACGAGTAAACGCAGAGACGTGCGTGAACAGTGACGTATGACCGATTGATCTCTCAGTTACAAAGAGAACAGGTGAGATAAAAAACCTTAGTCAAGAGCATGATACCAACCAATACCGCGTACTTGATGTACCACCACGATGATTAAGCGTGCGAACGCGTGATCGTTGAATCGCCATCTTGGCGAAAGAACGATCAATTTCATTTGAATACTAAATTTCAAGGAGAACGTAATTTAAATTCGCAATTTTTTGAAACAGCATGAAGCAGCGTGATTTTATTAAAGATCGGTATATACTTTTAGAGAAAGAATGGAAGAAGAGAGATATGTATAGGTATTTATAAGGATTGTTATAAATGTTTAGTATTATTAACAGATTAGCAGAATTATTAGGCATTGGTGAATTTTATGAAAAGCTTTGGAGGAGGGGAGGAAAGGATCGAAGAAGATAATTGTATGAATAATGAGTATGAAGCGAATAATTAACAAATAAGGATATAAAAGATGGATATGGACAATAATTTAAACGGAAACACTTTGATTGAAATGATAATAAGAAAAAGGTACGTCGACCTCTGTCTCCTCAGAATGGATCATCAAAATGTTTCCAGACTCTGATTCGTGTGTTGCAAATTTCTATTGGCCATATCTAATCGATCTATTTAGCTACATTTCAAACGAAATGGCAAAAATATGTATATATATAGCCAATAAAATTCATTCTGACGCGGTTAAGGGATTAATGGCGGCTCGATCGACGGTTAATTGTTAGTCACTTGAAAGATTAATATTTCGAGAGCAGGCATGGAGTTTATTAATATTTTGAGAGCAGATGCCAGAGAAATTCCCGATTTATCGATGAGAAACTACCCCCCCAACCACGAATTTAATATAGTACCAATTTGAAGAAAAAAAAAAAAGAAGAAGAAGAAGAAGAAGAATTGAATCAAAGAAGAAACAACTTCGATTCAGGGGAGTATTTGAAAAATACGCGACTATTATCCTGGTGGTGGTCTTCAGTTGGTATCGAGCAAATGCAAAAAATCAACTTGCTGCTTTAGCGCACTTGTGCAGGTGGTAGAAAGGTGGGATCAAGACAAACCTACCTGTTGCTCCTGCAATGCCTTCTCCTTGTCGGTGGACAGATATGTCGGGCTCAGTACTGTCCTCAGTTGCTGCTCCACCTGCATAATCTGTTGCCTCAACTGTTGTATCTCCTAAAATGACAAACAGGCGTCAGCCGTATTCTTTTGAACACCCGTTGAAACGATTGCCAATCCCTTTTAGTTCTAAGAAACGACGAAATGACTCTATATATCGTATATGAAGGACTTGAATCGGTGTAAATCATTTTCTATTAAAAATAACTCGCGCCATACTTGTCAGAATCTGCAATCGATGGAACAATTTAGTTCTAATACGGTAATAATTATATTATAACCATCATGTTAATAACGACTAAATTGTTTCAACGATTGACAATTTTATCAAAATGATATTTCCACCGATATTTACACCGATTGATTTTTGAGCCTTCTACATATTTTCATAGAATCTTTTAATTCACATTTCATCGCGAGATGAAAGATTGATATTTATTTCTTCTCAAAAATTCCAATTTTGGACCGGCAATCAGGTTTCAAAAGAATACAGCCGCAGTCTAGAAACGACGGGAGAGACAGTGCTCTGGAACGATTCTAACCTGTTGATATTGGTCAATCTGAGCTAAACAAGCCTCCAACGCCGCGGTCTGTTCTTTCACGTTGGCGTGAAGGTTGTCTAGCTCGGCCAACAGCTCGTCAACGGTCTCGCCGATTCGACTATCGCCACCGATCCCGGACCGGAAGTGAACCTGAAGCTTCTCCATCGAGATACCGATTTTCGTTTTCTGTATCGCGACATCGCTCAGCATTTTCTCCCGTATAATATGCTGATCCCGTAACGGTTTCTTTTTGTTCTGCGGCGACTCGAGGCTCTGTTTCGCTTTCTCGATCCACGTTTTCACCTCCTTCATCTTTCGCTCGCATTGCTCCCATTCCTCGCTAGTTTCTTGCAGCAACGCGTTCTGAAACGAACAGTACGAAACGAACAGTTCATCTTACGCACGCGATTCCCCCGCTTGATCATCCGAAAATAAGACTCGACGAGATCGATCGAGAATAACCAACCCTTTCCAACAGTTGACCCTCCACTTGGACCTTCGCTTCCTCGGCCTCGAGCAGTTTCTCGGGCAGGTCGCCCACGCTGCAAACCTGACCGATACTCTCGAGCTCCTTACCCATGTCGCTGAGATTCTTGTTGATCTGTTTGCAGCTTTTTACGGCTATCTGCAAAGCCACCCCGAACGCGAGGATTAATAGAACGCATGATGATGCAGAAATTGGTACGAATACACCTGAACCGCGATTTCTCCATCCGAGGGACTACAGAGGAACGTGTGTTTTTGAAGAAGCTCAAGATCTCTAGCTGTGTTTGTTAAGAATTGTAATTTCGAACTATCGCTTCGAATATATAACAGCCTCTATTTCCCAAGCCTTTTCTTTATTACAGTCTACGTTTCATTTTCATAGTAACAAGAAATTTTTGTAGTCGTAAACGATGACGAATCTTAGTGTTAACTGGAATCCGATTAAATCCTACAATGAATGCCAATTTTATAATTGAACCATTGAACATATACAGA